AGTTTCACATTGATGCAGGCTAGGATAAACATCCCACACTGCGCACAGCTGGTGCTGACTTTCAGGCGCGTGGGGTCTAATACAAAGCCCGGATTGTTGGTGATCACTAGGTCCACAATGACCACCGGCCGCTCCCTGCCCTGAAATACCTCAGCCGTGCAGAATGTGACTCTCTTCAGCTTGAGCTAGGCTTACCTGGCCTGAGCTGGGGCGCAGCATTTGACTTCGTGATAGTGACCCCAAAATATGATGCTTCTGTGACCATGCCGAAGATTTTGTGCCCGGCAACCCTAAGGACAAAAGGTGGCGTCATAAAGTTGAGTTCGCGGGTGAGAGAAGTTGTCTTGAGCGAGGCTTAATCATTGCAAAGTTCCTGCTTACTTATGCATCCCGGCCACTAGCAGCCAATGTCTGTATCTCCGATCAGAACTGTGAGTCCAGACTTCCAAAGGCCACGGTGGAGAGTCATGGTGGCTGCAACAGCCACGGATCCTAAACTCATCTTTGTAGTCGCTCCTTCGAAAGCAAAGAAAGTAGTACATCGACTATTGTGTCAAGCGACTAGCATAGGCGAGCGTCTGCAATCTAATTCTTTTGTGGCCATGTTGCGGAATGTGGGAGCTTGATTTTCGAATCGTACTGCTCATCATCCGGCTGTAGGGACTCGATTTCCGCTTCCTCTACCTCTCGTCGCTTGGGACTAGGTGGCGAAGAGGACCAATCAAAAAATGCCTCCTCATCACTTGCCTCGTCTTCCATTATCGATCTATTGACCTGAGGCTCATTGTCATCTCGCAACATCCAATCAGGACGCAACAATTTAGCGATTCCGAATCGTGGACAGTATCATAAGCCCCTGATTCTTCTGGTCTTTGGGGAAGAAAGGATCTCGCACTATGTGTTTCGATTAGCTCTTCCCATGCCGTAAATGGTCAGCTCAGAAGTTCTCGTTCGTCTTGGTAGACGGTGGTGCTGGCTGTCTAAAAGATGGTGTAGACCGTCTGGATGGGCAAGTTCCCTTGCTGGTCGAAGTCTGCTGGGGGACGCTTTTTTTTCGATCTCCGGTTGATAGCTTGCAGATAGGCAGAAGTTCCCAGGCGTCGCTATCTGGTGCCTGGTAGAGGCCAACGTTGGTTGTCTGTAGGTGATGGTTCTGGCTTGATAGGTGTCGGTCACGTGTCTTGTGTTTCGCTCTCTTCGGGGCCTTTGTCGCCTTTTGAACAGGTAGAGTGAGATCTGGGTACCTAAGGGGCTTGGTTGCGGAATGTTATATCTAGCGATCTCTCGCTCGCTTGGTTGATTGTCCCGTGGCGCTCAGTCAGAATATTACGAGTTTGGCTAGTAGGTGAGACGCGTGTATCAATCTGAACTAACTTATCGATCTTCTAAAGATTTTTAGTAGATACGGACGCTGTCGGACCGCGATACTTTGAGACTTTGGTGTCATTCTAAGCCAAATCACTTCCATGGCATCTGACGCACCTGGACCTTTCCCTTAGTCGCGCTGATAAGTATTGGCTTTCTTATCGTTCTTAGCTATCTTGCTCGTTGTTCCTGTAGTAGTTCGTGTTCACGTTTGGACTTGCGGGTTCTGATTCGTTAGAGTTATCCATTATGGTAGACGCTGGGATATAGGGCCATACAGCTGGGAGCGATCTGTGTAGGTTGTGTAGGTTGTGTAGGCTGTGTAGGTTCGCAATATCCTAACCATATGACGGCAAGATGATCAAAAGATCGAACATAATGTTGCACTGAACAGTATCTTGGCAAAATTGGAGATTTGTAAATGGTTTCTCCCATTTGGATTCTTCGTTTCTCAAATCTCTTCGAACAGAGATTGAAATGTCCCGGATCGTCAGTGCCTCGGGATTTTCGATCGAGAATCACGGAATGGTTCCGCGACTTCTTGACACTGTCTTGCCGTATCAGAGCATCCTGCCAACTCCATAAGAGCCATAACCTCGAACTTCTTTTGGCTTCACTCTATGTCAAGTACAAGCCCTCAATTCTTCGGGGTTATGCACTCACTTAGTCTGCGTGCGGTATCCTTGGAGTGACTATAGCTTATCTAGACCCTGCGGGAATGGTACCTGGGGAGAGGAACATTAAACGGCCTTTCTCCCCCGATTCTTGACTGTCACCATCGACGACAATGTGTGTACAGCTGGCGATACTAGGTAGACAGTGCCTACCTTAGCTAGGAACCCAGAGTCACGCGGGTCCACCCGGGTAGGTTATCTTGTGCTTGTGAGCCGAAATCTGGACATAGCATAGGGCCACTGGGCATTCAGACGACGGTCGATACTTTTTGGCGGCGGATGAACAAAGTGGTCCTGGTATCAAAAGCAACAGCAGATATCCCCCCTGGTGTCAAGCGGAATGTAGACTTTACCCCTGCAGTGATTAGGCCGAGGGAGGCGAAGGCGGATAAACTCGACGACTAGATCAAGAATATATGTGCAGGTGTCAAGGATATTTGAGACTGTACGCTCTAAAGCATTCGCATAGAAATAGGTTACCATCTAGGTAATCTCTACCAGGATGCCAGTGGTGCCAGTACTAGAGATAGCATCTTCAACGTCGGCATTGTCAAAAGGCCAGTGGAGCCCAAAAATGTCAGCAAGCTGTTGGTTCAAGTTGGCCACAATCAGGAGGGAAGGCTGAGTGGTGGATTGCCATGGGCAGAAGGGCGCGAAAGGGCGACTAGCATGGGTGTTGGAGAAAAATATTATTATTCCTGGCAAAGCAAAACCAAAGCTATGAGCACAGGGTTATAGACAGGACAGACTAGGCAGAGTATAGGAGGGGATGGAGAGGAAGAGGAAAACTTACACTGCAGTAGAGTATATAGGAGAAGATGATTATCTGCAGAGATTAGATAGGAGTGGATGGGATGACCTGGCAAGGTTTAGATACTAAGATTAGCTGGGGCCAAGAGAGCAAGGTTAGCTTTACTGATCTAAGACTCCGTGTGTCGCTTCGCCGTAGAAAACACCTGCGAAGTTTTATTAGATGAGTGAGTACATAGACCGGGATAACTCAGAGCAGTGTCGTTTTTGGAGATCGGGATATGGGAAGAGAAGAAAGAGAAAAAGACAGGAAAGAAAAAGAGGGAGGAGAAAGATAAGAACAGAACTTGCACGCTTCGCTTTCTATAGCACTGCCAATGCTTATTCTCCAAATGCCTAATTCTGGAAGACTGCGGTCTTTTGCTTGGCGACGGCGACGGTCCTTTGGGCGGTAGCAAGGGCATTCTTGGATGTATACAGGCCTGCTTTATGGGTCATGTATCGACCCCATACTCCACATCTGCCCTCGTGTGCGGTTCCTGTTCCCGAGTCATTATAGAAAGCATGCTGATTGCCATCCGAATCATTGGTCACAATGTCAATGTATGTACTCTTTTCCAGTGCCTATCAGTTATAGGCGATAAGGCGAGTATTTCCTTACGAGGTAGACATGGCGCATCGAGAACAGTTCTCGCTGCTGGGACCACAGCCTTTTCCAGTGCATCGATAACAATTCCGACCGTGCCCCGGCGCTTGAGTTGGGCTGTAGCCCCTTGCATAAGCCCCTGCCTTTCTTCTTTCGCTCGTGATTTTCTGTTATATAGAGTTAGCCTCTATACATCTCCAGGGTGTTCGCAAATACCATTGGAATATGATAACTGAAATGATCTGGCCAGAATAGAGTCCATAGTTTAATGAAGTTGGTCGCGCGGTGTCCATCCCCTTACGCCACTATGTGATAGTGCAGCGTACTGTCGTCTCTCTTAATGATAGCCACAAGGTGCTGCAGAATCCGAGTCTTAGGATTTTCCGATCGTCCTACATAGGGACGCCAATAATCTGTCTTGCGGTCATCTGTGACAAAGTTAAGATAGCCATTGCCACGTTACCATTCCTCTGTTAGCGCCCGCTCATTCATATGACATTGCACTGGACTGTTCCGCATTCGCTCTGACCGTTTCAGGCTGCCTCAGATTGTCTCCAAAACTATGGTGGAAACCTGTAGAGGCCTCTTAACCGATGTCTCGTGAACGAACTTTCCTGATAATTTGCCAAGACATTGGAATAGCTTAAACAAGCGAGTGATGTTGACACAAGTTGAAAGTCGCCTATCAGATAGATGAGCACCCATATCTAACTGTTGAGATGGTCGAGGAGCAAATCCTTCTTGACCAGGACTCAGGGCATCTCTTTCATGAATGGAGTATGTTGAGCGAATCTTGAAATCAATACTCGAATCCCGAGATAAACGATGGAATAAATCCCATCAGTAGAGTCTTGGGTAAGACGTGTGTCTGGATACTAGTGTATGTAAGGAAATAGGAAGGGTGGTGGATAAGAAGACTGACTGGGAACGGGAATCCTGGACTTGGACTGTATAGGTCCTGATACTGGGCCACGGTAGCTTGGTTGAAAGGGAGACGGTGGAAGGTGGACGGCGGAAGAAAGAAGGAAGTAGGAAGAGGAGCCTTGACCTTAAAAGAAGAAGTACTGATTCAAGACCGGAACCAGCTCAGAGAGAGTACTGTGAATGGGCCTGGTATGAATGGGAAGGTGAATGGGATGGGTTGGAGAACAAGAGCTACAGAGACAGTGTATTGTTCTCAGACTGTGGGTGAAGAGTTGGTGCTCAAAGTGACTGTCTGGTTGATCATTTGAGACTACTTGAAATAATGCCTTGCTTATTCACCATATAGTCTCATTGAATGGGGTTCTCCATTTGGAAGGCAATTTCTATAAAGAAATGTCGACTAGTAGATGTTGTGAATCGTGCCTTTGGCCTTGCTGAGTATTCCCTAAAGTCTGCAATACGAACGTGTCGTAGAAGCAGATAAGAGAAGCTGTGATCAGATGGCAACTACTAACTCATCAACGCGATCTACAAGGTCAGACATATATCCGCCTTCTCTTTTTCAACGCATACGGGAAACGAACTACATTACCCCTCCCATCCTATTGCTCTTTGAATTAACCACGTACTGCTAAATTGAATGAACAAGCAAGGTAAAGTCAGATTTCTTGTATATAATTCTATAATTCAGAGCAGCAACTAGCACAAAGTTCATTACTGCGCCAGTAGCAAGCCCTGGTTGTGGCCGTAAAAATCACACGGAGCTGAACATGCAGAAAAAAGATATATACGCTTGGTATCACAGATACTATTTACATCGGGTCGACCCAATATTGGTTATTGAACCAGGGCATGCACTTGACCCGCGGCGGTGGCTCCGGCTGCCACTCGATCAGTTCCGGCCCCTTCGTGTACTTCTCCCGTCGAATGATCTGGTGCACATATTTGTAGGTCTCCTTGGCCTCGCGGGCCGACTTGTACTCGTAGGCGACATTGATGCTGGACACAGCCTGAATCTTGCCCAAGCCCGCTCTCCAGAGGTCCTTGGCCAGCGTCATGGGCTCCCCCATGTAGCACTCGCCTGGTTCGGAGCTGCGGAACGTGACGGATTTCTGCACAAACGGCGCCGCGTTGAGGGTCACCATGCCGCCCCAGCATGAGTAGACCTGCACGGGGAGACCTCGCCCATAGCGCTCCGCATTGTAGTTGTCATCAAAGAACATATCCTTGGCGATCCAGTACCGCGCGTCGTGGGTAATCTCAAAGAAGAGGTTACCAGACATCGAACGGGACACCCAGGAGTCGTAGAAGGAGCCACCGCCCGCGTTCCAGTCGAATGCGCAGGTCATCTGCGCATCTTGATTCTGATGTTGGTAGATCAGCTCAAGAAGGTCCTCCGTGCACAGGACGATATCGTTAACGAAGACAATCAGCGTATCGGCGGCGTACGGGCTGAACTTGCCCGTGCCGGCAGCGACCAGCGGGGCAATCGCTTGATTGCGCAGAATGGCCAGGTCCTTGATGCGATCCTCGCCCTCCGCCTTGGGGTTCAGATCGTTTGTTCCCAGAAAGTATCGCACGCCCATCGCAGCGAGCTCGCGTTCCAGAGCGACAAGAATATCGTACGTGCCATCGGTGGATCGACCTTCGACGATGGAGAGAGCACAGTACTGAGGCCCAATGAAACGCATGGTATCCAGAATCGCGCCCATCAGGGGCATAAGAATGTGGGCGGCTTGGTATAGGTCGAGGGCGAAGAAGTATTTGACCTTGGGGTTGGCGCTACCCCAGCTCGGTTGCACGCGGAGGCTATCATAACGGAGGCTGATGTTGAGAGGACAATCGAGATGGGCGGTTTGTTTCATGTTGTGCTTCACTATCGAGCACACAAAGTCGTCGACTGCGCTGCCATTGATTGGGGCTTTGGCGTTCAAGGTACCGTGGAGGTCAAGCGATACGGTGGCGGGGTCGAAATCGTCGCAGGCGGAGAGGGCAGGAACCACGGCTTTGACATCGTCGACCACCAGGCCGTCATTGGCCGTAGAGGCGCCATTGCGGTTTGCGTAGAGGTAGAGGACGAGGCACAGAGCGGCCATCAGCATGGCCGCTCGAGCAAGGTGCCATTGCACCTGGTGGAGGTTCATCTCAACTGGAAGAATGCATATAGGGTGGGAGGGAAGATTGTTGGGAGGCAAAAATCAAGCCGTGCGAGAAGAGAGAAAGTTCTGCATTATGGAGGAGGGACCGGATAAGATAAATAGAGGAGAAGTGGACAAAGGAGGGAAAAACCCCGAAGAAACTGGTCGCTGGGATGATTTCTTCTCCTCATGGCGCACGCACGCAGTCAGCCTTAGTGGTGGAACCCTCCGGTGATGGTACGCGTGGGCCTTTTGCCATTCCTGATTTGCGCAGCTGCCTAACTGGCAGGGAAGCCAATCACTGCGACTGGATCAGCGGCACCATTTGATGCCAGCCAAAATGAGGTGATGGGGGCGTCATCATTAGGGGGGAACAGGTGGATCAAGATGACTCGGTAAAGGCAATCCTTGAGATTGAGATTATCTCCCGAAGAGTGTGGAATTCCAATGATCTCAAACTCTGAAACTGTCAAATGAACTCTCGGGCGGATTGCCGACACGTGATGGTCCGAATAGGACTAGTCGATGGATCATCGGATCTCCCGGCTTTTTGCAATGCTCAACAACTCCTTGCTTGAATGCTTGTATGCTTGCGTGCTTGCGTGCTTTTCACTCAATCCACTGCGTCCCATGTGAACTTTTCTGATCTCTCTGCGAGCGATACAGAATAATCATCTGCTAGACTTGCCCATTGCCAAGACATCTGTTTCTCAGCCCGCCCCGGTCGTCCTCAGTGCACCGCCCATCCGACCGCTGTTTGTACACATCAAAGTCTACAATCCAAAGCCAAGCTGGAATTGAGGGGCCGTAATCTGAGACATACGTAGTATCTGTCAACCCCGAAATACTACCGCATCGGATGTAATATAAGGTGGGGGCCAGGGGCTGGTACACCATCCTCAGCATTCAGGAGCAGGAGGGGCTGCGTCGGTTCCGCAATTGCAGCATTGGATGTCTCCATGCAAGGTACAGGGGTGATGAGAGCTCTCATCTTTGTTGCCAATCGGTCAGCATTACATGTCAAAGCCATCATTACAGACAGTCAATCCTGCTACCGCCAACAAATTCACAAAAGGCGGTTGCTGGCGATCGAATGATCAGCCGCTCCACACGATTATAGCCGAGATAGTGATGAATGATCACTGCAGTCACCACTAACTACTATTTATGACCAGGTGGCTGAGAATCAGATCCTATGACGAGGACTGAGGCAACGGGGCAGTAATTCCCGCCTGAGGTAGAAAAGCCACGACCTTACTGTAAGAGGCAAGCGGGACATGACCTCGGGCTAAGCCTCATTGAGCTAACCCCTCGATAAATAAAGAATTAAGGTTGAGTGCAGTTGGTGCCTGAACCGCCGTCCGGTCTTTCTTCCGCCTCATCGTCATTCTCTATCTCTTTCCTTCTCCAACTATCCTACCTTTCCCAAATATCAATTGAACTTCCAGCAAAATGTCTACCTACACCATTGCTAGCGGAGATACCTTGTGGAAAATCGCTCAAGATCATGGCGTCACTCTAGATGCCCTCAAAGCCGCCAACCCGCAACTCACCAACCCGGATCTCATCTATCCAGGCCAGGAGCTGCAGATCCCTTCGGGTCAAGCTCCTAGAAATGAGCCGCCAGCTCAGGCCGCAGATCCGGCTTCTCGTGATCTAGGGAGTCCTTCAGCTCCGGCCCCAAGCTACAACATAACACGTGCTCCTCCTCCGATTCCCCCGCAGATGGTTCCGCCACCCGCTCCTGGCGTTCCGCAGGGGCCCGCCTACAAGACAGTTGCATACTTCACCAATTGGGTATGTTTTAGCCGTTTTAGAGTGACTTGTCGACATATTATCTAACCTGTCCGCAGGGTGTCTATGGTCGTAACTACCAACCTCAAGACATTCCAGCCGAGTATATCACACACATCCTATGTATGAAGCCCAAAACGTAACAGGAGCTACACACCCACTAACAAACATCAGATTCCTTCGCAAACATCCGACCCACGGGTGAAGTGTACAACCACCAATATTCTGTCTTTCTCTTCTTAGATCTAATACCTTTCCCCCCAGATTTCTAACAGACACCTACTCCGACCTCGAAAAGCACTACCCCAGCGACAGCTGGGACGAACCCAACACCAACGCCTACGGCTGCATTAAACAGCTCTTCCTCCTCAAGAAGCAGCACCGCCACCTCAAGACCCTCCTATCGATCGGCGGCTGGACCTACAGCGCCAACTTCGCCCAACCGGCCTCCACGCCCGAGGGCCGCCAAACCTTCGCCCGGAGCGCCGTGCACCTCCTCGCCGACTTGGGGTTTGACGGCATCGACATCGACTGGGAATATCCGGCGGATCCGCAGCAAGCCGCCAACTTCGTGCTGTTGCTGCAGGAGACCCGCCGCGAGCTCGACCGCTACGCGGCCCATCTCCGCCTCCCCTCGCGGCTGCTCCTGACCATCGCCGCCCCCTGCGGCCCCACCCACTTCTCCAAGCTCCGCATCCGCGACATGGACCCCTACCTCGACTTCTGGAATCTGATGTGCTACGACTTCGCGGGTAGCTGGGACGCACACGCGGGCCACCAGGCGAATGTCTTCCCCGCGCCACCGGGCCACGAGCGGTTGACCCCGTTCAGTGCGGATCGCGCGGTGCACGCGTACGTCTCGCAGGGGGTGCATCCGAACAAGATCATCTTTGGAATGCCGTTGTATGGGCGCGCATTTGAGAACACGGAGGGTCCCGGGCGGCCGTTCCAGGGGGTCGGAGAGGGGTCGTGGGAGAATGGCGTGTGGGATTACAAAGCCCTGCCGCCGGCGGGACATCAGGAGTTTGTGGACAGCAATCTGTTGGCGAGTTGGAGTCATGCGCCCGGGGAGCGAAAGGTGGTCAGTTACGATACGCCGCAGGTGGCGGCGATGAAGGTCGAGTACATCAAGCGGAGGGGGCTGGGGGGCGCCATGTGGTGGGAGTTGAGCGGGGATCATCCCGTCGGACATGAGCGGAGCTTGATCCGGACGACGGTGAACGAGTTCATGCGGTCGGGGGATCTGGATCGGAGCCCGAATACGCTAAACTATCCGTTGAGTCGGTTTGAGAATCTGAAGAGGGGGTTTGAGTAATTGTTCGGCACGAGCGAGCTATCGACTGATGTGAACGGCGTGTCGAGTGACGCAGATCTGTGTACATTGAATAGTGAATCCTACAAGCTTGCAACATGTCCAGCAATACACCAATAGAGCCCAAATTAAACAACCACACAATAATACACATAGACAATAATCCCACATCACACATCACACATCACATCAAACAAATCCCTCTACTCCCCCATTCCTCCTAACAAGAAAAACCGCCTCCCCGCCATACCCCGCCACCTTCCCCCTCAACTCCTCCCCCACCTCCACAACCCGGAACCCAAACCGTCCCCAAAACCCCTCCGTGCCATAAACCGACACCAACCCCGTAGTCTGATACCTGTACCGCCCCGCTACCTCCAGCAGCCGCCGCACCCCCTCCGCCGCAAGCCCCCGTCCGCGCACCCTGGGGAGGACCGCCACATCGTGGATGTAATACTGGTCCGCGTCCGGCGCGATCCGCCCCAGCAGCGTGTCCAGCGCCGGCGGCTGGCCCGCGCGGATCGGGTGCGAGATCGCGTAGCCGACCAGTTGGCCGTCGTCCCCGGCTTCAAGGGCCCAGCAGCCTTGCGGGAAGAGGCGGATGCGCTCGGCGAAGATCTCCGGGCGCTCCGGGAGGGATTGGTGGATCTGGTTGGCGATGGTTGTTAGGGCGGGGAGGTCGGTGGGGTGGAGGGGGCGCCAGGGCATTTTTTTTCTTGTCGGAGGGAGGATGGAGGATGTGAGTTGTTTGGATGGTAGGGATTGATTGTTTAGTGGATGTGGATTGGGGTTGCCCGAGGTTGGTGGTTGTATGGGTAAGTTGTGGGATTCGGAGTATAGTGGTGTGTTTCTTTTTTCTGAAATCTCTTAGTCGGTGTTGTTGTGCTGATGCTAAAATCTTTGGCTTACGAGGGGGCTCCTATCCGCTTGCGTATTGTAGTGCTTTGAAAGGATGGGGATCAATTGGAATGCCTGTTGAACTTTTTTTGCTTGTTCTTTTCGCCATATCATCACTAGTCTTACCTTGATGCTCTGGAGAGATTTAATTACTCATCGAATCAATACAGAATCCGTTTTTATTTTCCATCAACCGCTAAGCTTGCTGCTGAGTGTAGGAAGTACTAGGTAGGCGGTCAGGTCTGCAGTGTCCGCTCGGTTTGCCGAGGGCGCTAACATGTCATGTCCCCGCCGACAAGAATGATCATGTTTCTACTCGAGTACTTCGGCCATGCTAGAGGTTCTACGTGATTGTTTTCAGAAAATTAAATTCATACTTGGATTCCTAGCGGAGTTGTTGATAGCATGGGTTTGACCTCCCAACCACTACCAAGCTGCGCTGTACAGTACTTCCAATTAATCAAATGAGCAGACAAGGCCATTCGACACTAAGGTGAGGAAAATGTATGCGATCCACCACCACCGATATACAGCGATTTCTCCCTCTACTCCCTCAGCAAATCGTCCAGAGTCTGGACCGGTGTCCGCGTCGGCGCCGCGATCTCCAGCACCTCCCGGCTTGTCGTAGAAGCAGCACACTTCCCCTCCCACGCCGTCCTGAGCGCGTGCTTGACAGACCCGATCACATTCCGCGAAGACTGCGGAGCCCCCATAAACTCTCGCTCGAGGTACGCCTCGAGACCCGACAAGTCCTCATAGCAGACCCTCTCCACCGGCGCCCCGATCCGCTCACCCACCATCCGCACGATCTCCCGCCCGGAGACATCCGCAGGCCCGTTGACCACATACCGGGCCCGGTTGTGCACCGCCGGGTCCGCCTGGACCAACAGGTGCGCCGCCAGGGCGCCCACCTCCTCGGGATCGACGATGCCCACCGGCGCCGTCTCGGAGGCCATCAGCCGCAGCGTCCCCTGCTTGCCGTTCCGACGGGCCTGCTGGATGAACTCCGCGGCGGAGGCAAGCCACAGCCCGGCAAAGATGTTCGGCTGGAGGGAGGTCCACTGCAGGCCGTGGAATTCCGGGGCGCGCAGGAGGTCCTCGATGGCCCAGTGGGCCCGGGCGTAGTGGGCGTCGCAGTCCGGGCGGACGTTCGCGGCCGTCGTGGAGATGCGCACCACGTACCGGACCCCGGCGCGCAGGGCGGCGACGTGGAAGCTCGATTCCTCGGCGAATTGGTGGGGTTGGTTGTGCGATGCGAGGAACGCGCGGTCCACGCCGTGTTCTTGGAGCCAGGATGGGGTCAGCTCGACCCAGTTCTGCTCGAGGACCTCCACGCCGGGTAGCTGGGCGAGCTGCTGCGCGATCGCGCTCTGGGGGGAGCGGGTGAGGGCCAGGATGCGGTGGTGGGGGAGGGTGTCGGTCGTTGCTAGCAGTTGGGATAGGGTTTTGACGACGTTCCGGCCGGTGTTGCCGGTCGCGCCGGCGATGAGGATTGAGGGGGCCATTGTTTGGTTATGAAGAGGTGGGGAAGATGTAGTTTGCTTCGTTTGCGGGATAGAATGCAGTTGAATGATGGACATTGCGGCAACGAAGGCCAGCGACCAGTGCAGTACTTATAGCTGGGTTGTGGTCTGGTGATTAGAAATTGTGCAGGTAATCATCTTGTCGATTCATTTCAACGAAAAAACAAAGAACTTCAGATACCGACATTTCACAATATACATCTAAGAGCACAATACCTATCGCCGTATACCAAGCTGAGTGATCCAGGCGGGCACTCCGAGCAAGGTGGGCATGCCGATGCCCGCGCGGGGTGGGCACTCCGGACAGAGTGGGGCCCTCGGAAGTGGCGTGCCAAATCCATGAACATGTGTCTTTGACCATAAGACAGAATTGTCTCATCATCTAACTTAATTCCTTCAAGACACCTTACTAAGCTATTCATTGTTAATCTTATCAGGGGTAAGCCACCAAAACCTTATGGAAACGTCTGCTTGTCCCTACGCTCACCTTTACGGTGTAGTCTCGAGCCAATAATGCCATTGATTAGCTTTCATAAGTCCTGGAATATCTGACAAATCAGCACGATGCTTTCGAGTCCTTCCAAAACATACAAGTGTCGATTTCCAGGCTGCAGCTCGAGCTACCAACGGAGGGAGCATCGCCATCGTCATGAGGCGCAACATACCCGCCGTCAGCTTCCGCAGTGCTCGGTTTGTGCTCAGACATTTAGCCGGCGGTAAGAAGTGACTTGCCTACTATACTCCCTCCCATGTATCTAGTCAATGAAAAGAGTCAACGCTGAGAACGATAGTGATACACTCCGGCGACACATGCAAAAGGTGCATGTCACCAAAGAACCGGCGGAACCTCCCACCAAACACGCCTGCGCACTGTGTCGAAATCTGAAGATCCGGTGCCGCGGCGGGCCACCATGTAGCAACTGCCTGCATCGTGGGATTTCCTGTTCGCTTGACCACCACGGACAGACTGACGCACAGCCTGGTGACAACTCCAAGCGCGCGTCGGGCCCGCAGTCCATGCCGTTGCGATCGCTATCCCCCCGACCCAAGGCGAACCGCTCCGCAAAGGAGAATCACTATCTCAGTCTGTATTTCAAGCTGTTTCACCCTCACTGGCCCTTCATTCACCGGGGTTCGTTCAGCGAGTATGAGACGCCCTTGCTGGTGCAATCTATGGTCGTCATAGGTCTGTGGCTGAGTCGGGAGAAGGACACACAGTCCAAAGCAATGGATCTGCACCAGGTCTTTGACTCCGCCATTCGCGAACAGACAGTATGTGACTCAGAACCTCCTGCACTAGAAGTGCATTCGACTGATGGGAAATTTCGTAGGCGGTATGGGATGCCTCGAGCTTAGAGGACGGATGCAGTGCTTGTTCGTGGCCCATCCCGACATACCAGGCCATCTTGCTCCACATAATCTTCGCTGGGCTGTCCCAGGGCGGTGAAGTGCTTGGCCCGGACCTCAAGCCTTCCCTTGCACCCCCTGACCGCGACCTGCTGGAGAGGCTGGTCGCGAGTTGCAAGAAGCTGGGCCTGCTGTATTATCCTAACATCCTCAATCGTTATTGCCAGGATGACCCAGCGACCTATGTGTGGGTGAGCATCGAGGAGGTCAAACGATTCAACTTGACGCTGTTCAAAGTTTGCAGAGCTTTCAGCGGTGCAAACAGACAGACTAGTAGTCGGGACGTTGCGGACATGGCAGAGCCAGCAAGCGGGATCCTTCAAGTACGCGATCTGCAATTTCCCTGGCCACGGAATACCCCGTTGTGGAATGCGGTGGGCAAAGCAGAATGGCTCTCTGTTGCGACCGAAGACGTTTTTCGCCATAGCCCACATGACACAATGGAGGTGGAGTGGATCTCGAATTCTGCTGATGTTCTGGAGATGCTCGACGGTTGATTTGGTTTGATATCCAGCTGAGTGACTTGGATCATTTGACCACGAGTTCGACGATATACCCTAATTAATGTCAAGAATATCGACACTGGTATGGAGGAGGTAGCATAGAGGAAGGCGTTTGTCTCTTGACCTACATTTCCATGATATTCAACTCATATCAGCGTTGTTATGATGGGAATTGTTGGATAACCTAGATACCTGATAAATGGGCTCCGCCTCAGGCCCCACAGTCATCCTGCCTGAGGCTATACGCTAATTGATATCCCCGAGATCGGCACCCCTGACACTTTAATCAGGAGACCCATTGACTCTTGGCAGCCTCGACAAACTGGGGCTCTGATGGAACGACTACCTCCCTTGGCAGGAAATTGGACGATCATGAGCTTCCTCAGGTGACAATATGACAATAAAGAACAAGTAAGTTTCACTGCAGCGTTAATCTGTGCCGTCGGTAGCATGCTGCTCACCCTGCGCAACCTAATTGCTGTAGCGGACACCAGAACCCAATGGACATCAGCTTTCAACCAAGCAGCAGAAAACCCTTCTGCTCCGAAACGAGGACTTTGAAGACACTTACATCATAGCCATTGTGCTGTTGATATGTATGCCACCCTAATATAAGCCATCATTTGAGTCCTCAGCTTAGTCTCCTCCTTCTGCCAAGCCCGTTTTGGAAAGCAAGTCATAAACAGCAAGTAGCATAAATCAAGCAATAGCTCATGGCTAACATTCTACTCAAGAAGCAGGTGTAGCGAGCAGGATCTGGCGATGGAAGACCTGAAGGATTTGCCCCAGTTCCAGCTAAGCCTCCAGGCCCCACCTACCAAGCCTTCAATGGCCACCTCGCGAAAGCTTGGTGGGACAAGCACCCCACACCGACGAGGCTGCAACTCCGCAATTTCGGGGGAGATGAGGCTGGCTGCCCGCAAAGGGAAGTCTTCGGGACTCACTCATCAGCGTCAGGGTGCATTGGGTAATAGAGAACGGGGGGAGGTGATCTCGCTTGACCAAGTTAATTCTAGCCGCCGCAATAGATCCGTTCTCCGGCCCCCAAAACGGCCCCGCATGGCCTTCCAAGTTGTTGTATATGATTTCTCTGACGAAATCGTGAAGACCTTCTCCTCCAGGCCCTGGAACGACGGATGAAGCTCGCGGTTTACGCTCTTTGTAAAGGCGCAGCATGAATATAAATACCCCCCAATCCTCTCAGACACTTCCCTCCATCATCACACAAACCACCATCTCAATTCTCCTCCTTCTTCCTTTCATCCCAAGTCAAACTCATCTCTTTATCCTACCAAAGGCAGAAAATCCAGCAAAGATGCTCGCCAAACCCCTCCTCCTCACCCTGTGCGCCACAACCTCCACCGTCGTCGCGACCACCGACATCATCCACTTCCTCTACGCCGCCGACTCCTACAGCGACATCCAGGGCGCCGGCAGCGGCTACTCCCAGGGCTTCACCCTGACCGACGACGATGGCAACACCATCTACAACAACGCCGACCCCGGCGGCTACGCGCCCTGCATGGACAACAGCGAGAAGGTGCAGTACACCTCCGACTGCTTCACGGGCACCTGGACCTTCGGCTGCGAGTCCGCCTTCGACGGCAGCCCCAAGCTCTGCAGCGCCTACGACCCCGACGGCACCGCCTACCCCGGCAAGGCCAAGGAGTCCCTCGACTTCATCGGCATCAGCGCCGGCATCACCGGCACCTGCAGTGGCGAGGTTACCATCCCTGGGAATACTTGCACGTCTGACAGCACATTCACGGTTGTGAAGCGCTACCGGGGGAACTATGAGTCTGTTTAGATTGGGAGTGAGGGTTTGGGCTAGGACTGGGATGTTGCCGTTGGGGTTTGGGTCGATCTCCGGCTTGGCCCTGTGATGGTTTAGGTCGGTGATCGGTTGGCTAGGTAGCCAGTGGCAGGTGTTATTTGATGTAGATTACCATGTGTGGTAGACTTATTGACAATATACTTGAGCTACAGCGATACTTGAATATTTTGGACCACGAGAGTCGAAGCTTTGAGTTGCCCTATTTTAATTGTCGCAAATCGATACCTCTTCCTACTAATAGATAGATTATACGCTTAGCTAGGTCTTCCTAGGCCTCCAGCTGCACAATGAAACTACCTCTGTTCTTGGTCATATGCATTAGCCGAACACCTGTAAAGGTCATCTCATTTCTTCTCAAAAGGTTCTGTAGAATATACGCTTTATCAGGGATGTCCGCAATATCCCGAGATAGTCGATGTTTCTTCTGGGTAGGTAATAGCCCAAAGCCTCGGCCGTGGGTCTCTGATAACTGACCGGGCAGGACCACCGAGAGTTGTCTCAGCGTTAAGCTTAGCCTTTGTGGATCACTTCGCAAAGAACTAAGATCGGGACTATAGGTTCCCCTATAACTGCTTTAGTTAATGCCCAATGAGTAGTCTTATGCTCGGTGACACCTCGGAGTACAGCCCACATGGAAATAAGAAGGAAGGAAGAAGTGGCTATTTACTGTTAGCTCTCTTTGTGCGGGCTGAATTTGTAGGCTATATCAGTGCTGTCTGTGGAGCACCTCAGGTGTCTAAGATGTTCATGTCTCAGGAATTGAGATGTAGGGTGCAGAGGGGACACGTGCTCTACTGAAACATCGAATCGTTCTCGGTTGGGGTTGGCTGATGACTCTGAGATTGCTCCCGGGTTCTTATCGCATGAGATCTCAGGAGAGCATTTTTTTGATGTGATCTAAGACTTCCTGACACCCTGGACCTTAATCTTAATGTCTGTTTGCTATCTGTTCCTCTGGTCCGGTCTTCGAATCTGTCTCCAGCATCCCACTCTTTTTGTCTTCCACTTCCGCAGAATTCACAATTGACCTTTGCCCCATGGATCTCCACAACTGCAAAAGATGCTGAATGCAGTGATATGGCTGCTGCTGGTGCTACTACTGATGGCCCTCGCCTTTGCGATCTTGGAAATGCTCGTTGGGCTTCTGTGCGCTTCCGTCACGACGACGCAAGGTCTTTGCGCATGCCGGGACTGACCTGTGGGAGGGTCTCGAGGCTTACTGTGAGCGAGCCCATCGCCCTCGCCTCCTCGCCCTAGTCAGCTTAGTCGCTAAAGGTTCAAACCCCCGACTCGGAGCGGGCCTTGCGACTCGACTACCTCCAGAAGAAACACGCTCTCGTGGCTGAGGCTCGCGCTCTGGATCGGCGCCATGCCCGGTTAGCGGCACAGATTGACGAAGCTCGAGACCTCAAGGACTCTGTTCCCCACTCGACAAAGGACCACTCGATGCAACGGAACCAGCTCATACGAGAATCCCACAAGGCCTCGGTGCAACCACGGACGAACTGGCAGAAGTCAAGGCACTGAGTGATGAGTACCCGGTGAAGGGTGCTTGGATCCGGGCAGCTTCGAAGATGGCTCAGAGACTGGAGCCCTATAAAAAGAAGGCACAGGCGTGCCGGCCGCGGGGTGGCTGCTGTAGGTTTGCTGACTGCGATTGTTGTGTCAAGCCTCGTGCGTGGAAGGGGGTAGTACCGAGGAACTGGCCGAAGACCTATGTATTCCCACTGCACCAGGGAGTGTGGGTGTTGGTGACGGCACGAACGGTATCTCTTTGGCGAGGGTGATGGTGGCGGTAGCGCCATCTCAATGCGGGTTGAATTGATCTGATCACCTTCAATGTTCTGAGATATATGTTGCTCGCTAGGGATTGAGCCAGCATGCGGCTGCAATCTTGCATCTCCGATGGAAAGTCTGAAGTGAGCAATCGCAAGTCGAAAGATGCTATTTGGGGTCTTTCTGCGAGATCTTCTTTTAAGATCAGCGAAAGCCGAAATGGTATATCTTCTTGAGCGCTTGTGACTCAGTCACGCCAACTGCAATGTAAACACCTTCTGGTGACGACTCCCTTGCAATCTCCGCGCCCACAGTGTGAGATATAAGTCTTCTGCCAAGAAAACATTTTCTACGGTGACGATGACAACAGGTTGATGTAGAATTGATGTTCTCTGGGCGGTCTTCTATTGCGAACAGATCAAGAAGAAAAGGCAGGATAAAGAGCGATGCAGGCAGGTAACGAATTCAAAGAATTTTCAATTATGTGGCAAATATGTGCTCAGTTTCACTGCAGCAGGGAACTATTTCAGACAGCCAAATATCTGCATGCAGTCCACAATATTATAGATCTATTGATCCCTGGCCCACTCCCGATACATTCCCAAACGGGCAAGCGTCATCGAAATAGAGCCATCTCCGATTGGCTGTCTTCTTTCCGCACGGCGAATTTACTCAGTCACTAATCCGAGAGAGTACTAGCGCCCCTGACAAAAAGTATTTCTCCCTTAGATCAACAACCTTGGATCCAGCTATTAAGGTATACCTTAACCATAACCATTGTCAAGAAGAGTCATTCAATCAACTTTCTAACAATTCTCTGTCCCAGCCCCAATAATTCTGAGCCAAGCACCCAAAGAAGACATACTCACGCGAGACTACTCCGCAGTGACATTCTTTTTCCGCGGGCCTCGGCGCAGTGTACCAATCAGGCCAGTTGGAAATCTGACTCACCAGCCTAAGAACCTCACGCGATAGGCGATAACGGTCTGCGGGGGGGGGGGGGGGGGGGGCTTGTCAATAAGACAGACCGGTGGGCCTACTCACAATTGAATCACAAAAACCACATTGGAAATCATTCTATCAGAGCCAATTGATGCAAGTTCATTAGACTATAAAGCCAGTATCCTCCTGAGACAACTTTCATTCTAAATCAAACCCGGCACCCACCCCGCCTCTCTTTCTCACCACCACCAAAACCAACTCAACAAGAAACAACAAGATGTATCTCCGCGCCATCCACGCCGAATCCAGCATCGCCTACCTCCACCAACTCATCCGCGACAACCCGCTGGGCATCTTCACGACCGCCATCCAATCCCCGGCCCACCCGCTCCTCCAAACCAGCCACATCCCTTTCGTCCTCGACGTGCCCGAGTCTCTTCCGCCCGTCACCGATGCCGCCGCCGCCGCCGCCACCGCCGAACCCACCACTCACCTCGGCACCCTCCGCGGCCACATGGCCAAACAGAACCCGCAAGCCAAGGCCCTGATGGAGGCACTCGCCGCCCACCAAGCCGCCAGCAATAGCAGCGGGGCCCTCGAGCTCCCCGACGAGGTGCTCGTCCTCTTCAACGGCCCCCACCACCACTACGTGACGCCCAAATTCTACACCGAGACCAAGCCCGCCACCGGCAAGGTGGTGCCGACCTGGAACTACTCGGCCGCCCAGGTGTACGGCAGGGTCCGGGTGTACTGCGACAGCAAAGCCGACGCGACGGGCGCCTACCTGCAGCGGCAGGTGGAGGATCTGTCGCGCGAGGCGGAGACGCGGATCATGGGGTACGAGAAGCCGTGGGCGGTTGCGGATGCGCCGGTCAACTATGTCGAGTTGCTGAAGAAGAATATCATCGGGATTGAGATCCGCATTGAGCGGTTGCAGGGGAAGGTGAAGATGAGTCAGGAGATGGGGAAGGGGGATCGCGAGGGGGTGATCAGGGGGTTTGAGGCGTTGGGGGGGGAGACTGGGTTGGGGGTCGCGGGGACGGTGAGGGAGAGGGCGGAGTTGATGGAGTTGAAGAAGAAGGAGAGGGTTGGGGCCAGGGAGGGGGAGGTTTGATCTGTGCGGGCTGGGCTGTGTGTTGTACAACAGGAGTTAAACTGATACTGGGATGCTGATTTATGGGATTCATTAGGTCTGTGTTGCGATTTGGTGCCATATGTGTATGGGCCCGAGTAGATTGTGGATTCGCTTGGCGAGATCCTCGTTATTTGCTGATGGAGGAATGTGCATTAGAGCCTCGCTGTTTTCAAACGTCAGGAGTGCATGTTCTTTGCGTCAAATTGGGAAGGTCAGCATATGGTTGTTGGAATCTGAAGCCAATATCGTACGTTACGTCTCTTTACTAGCTTGAAAACAGGTGGGAACATTCTGGGGGGATCCCACGGCAGTCGCCGGCATTATCATTCTAAGAAGGTTACTGTCGAGATGACGTTGGGCTATTTAGTGAAGGCACATTGTTCGAGCCATGTGGTTGTACCATTTCAGTGTGAGATGAACCCGGTGACTATGGGGTCAAGAATAGAGGCAGAGGTTGAATGCATACCATATTGTTAGCCCCTCTGTCAGTCGTTACATGAAGCTACTACTATCGCCCTCAATGTTCTGTGAGACTTCATCGGGCGGAGGTGAACGCGAGAGGCTTAAACATCCAAACCTGAAAACATCGAAAGCATCCATGTCTCGTAGACGGTCCGACGGAAGTTTCCGAGTAAGGCTGAACTGCCCAGTGGCTACCATCCGTCACCGACAACGTCATCCCTACCGATTGGCGGCTTGTGCGGTTGACCGATTATCATTTGTTGATCCGTCAGAACAGAACGGCAGGCTGATTGCCAATGGCCACTGATCGCCCACGGACAAATCACCCAGCCATGCACAGCGGATCGGATAAATAGATGCGACATTCTTTTACTCTCAGTCTCAGCTGACGGTCGTTTAAATTGCTTGAATTTGATCCGTTTTTCCCGAAACCCCGAGTCCGTTCACACTAGACAAGGATCCTTCAAGGCAACCAACAACCCCAGGGTTTAAATCTTTAGTCCTGATGATTGGGGCCCGGGGGGGCCACCTGTGGGGAGGTGCAGTGGTTCTGTTACGGCGCCTCTTTTTCGCAAATCATGGAAGTGGGGCTCATTTTTTGGATGAAGGTGGAGCGTATCCGAGCACCGGACACACCTTGTTGGCTGTCGACTTCCGTTGATGTCTGGGCCCTATCCTCTTAGTCTGGCGGAGGACGGCGCTAGACAGCAAAACCGCCTTGGATAGCTTCAGCCTTCAATGCGTTCCTGGTGGGAGATTGAGCCCATAGCGTCATAATTCCCCACTTGCCGGGGATGTTAGTTAGTTCTCACGCTTTTCAGCCCGTGGATTTTCTCTGAGCGATTTTTGGGAGAATGAGGTCATTGCTCGGCTGTTGATTGTTTTTGTTTTTGTTGTTCGTGAGTGGGTTCGTAGCTGGCCTTTTTGGGCCAGTTGGATGCATGCTCGCGTAATTCAAGGTCGACGGCGGGGAATGAGGGAAAATGTTGGGATGCGGAAGGCGCTGTGGTATAGGTGAGTTGAGACTGAAATATGGAGGAGACTAGAATGCCTTCTACATAGTACGTACAGCCACAAGATCTCTGGGCATGGGTCAAGAACTACTGCAGTGAACCTGCGGGTGGGGCTTTAATCTCTTTGAGCAAGGATTCCTGAACTGCGGCTGAGTATCTGTCATATCCCGAGGGAGGTAGAAACCCTAACCTTCGACTTGACCGTCATATGTAAGTAGTTAGGAGAAGCTGTTGGCGGACGATGACTTCAAAGGTGACAGCAGGTGAGGCTTTGAAAGGGCGGTATATTCGGCCTCTCCCACCCGACGCTGCTGCACAGTTGGATAAAGGGAGAAGGGCATTGGATACGTATGTGAGGGATACTGCTGTACGGAACGTCCATCCAGCCAGTCGATCGCCTAGCCCTTTGCTCTTAGATTCCCCACTAACTACCTCCTACTCCGTAACTACTGGCTAGCATAGATACAACGGCCAACGATTACCGCGGCATACCGGTATGGAAGGGATGTTTCCCCCCGGTCATTCGAGTCAGATAAGCAAACCTTCGTGTCGAAGATCGACCAGCTGAAAGCTTCCAGGTGGTATATACTGTACTGATAGGATCATCGAATGTATTGCTTCGTACTCCGTGCTGTCGGGATGGATATGTGGTGTCCGTGTCAGAAAGGGGGGGGGGGGTGGATTTGAGGGAGTTCGGGTACGTAAGACATTTTCCCCAGGGGCTGTCCTTTCCACTCCCTCAGCAGAAGACCCTGAAACAGACAATTTGAGCTAGCCCATACCGGCAATTTGGCGTTGACAGCATCATACAGAGTACAGTGCTTCTCTGTTTAGTATACGGAATACGGAGACTGTATCTTGTAAAGATTTGCTCAGGACGAGCCCTTCTGTGCTCTGTAGTCCTGATGTACAGTTAACTTACATGTGTGACTAGCGACTACTGCACGAACTGTCTCCTGACCACTTACCTAGAACAGTTTGTTGTAGTTAATTGAATGCAGTTGTATACATGTGTGAATCTTTTGTACGGTATTGTACAAGTTACCCTTGTCTGGTGCAAACAGCGTGGCGGATCCCCCCCTAAGAGACTTAGTTGGTCCCGTTTCTTTCCCACACTCACAGTAACTTAACTCCACTGCTTTCGGTCCAGCCTGGTTCGGCCACCCAAATTTAGCAACCCAGGCAAAAAAGAAAAAAAAAGATGACAATAATACAAGACCTTCCTCTACAATACATTACTTCCACACCCAAAAACATCCCCCCCCTCCTCCTCCCCATCTTCAATTATTATTTTCCCCGACTGCGTAATGCCAGGACGGAGCTGATAATATCTTCTATCCAAGGGGATCTCTTTATTCTTTCCCTTCTTCCCCTTCTTCTTCCTCCTCCTTCTCTTTCCATTCCCATCCTTCGTCTCCTTCGTCTCCTCTTCTATCCTTGCTAGTTCCGTTCTTGCAGGGGGGTATCGCGGTAGTGCAGGCCCGCCCTCATTTCTTATCTGTGCCAGAACATCTGACTTTCCTCTCACTCTAATCTGCTCTCGCCTTGTTCCTCCTGCCTTGACCACGTTAAAACTGGGATTTGCTGAGTGAACTATTTTCTCCCCTTTATGGCTTGGACACTCGCGATCATCTCCTCAGCACAGTTCGATCATGGAATACAACGCCGTCTTACAGGCCGACCACGAGGTCGCTTCCAATGCGAGCGATTCTGATGATCAGCATTCCCGCAGTTCTTCCCTCCAGTCCCAGCACCATGATGCATCCTTCCAACCACTTCCCTTGGATGTGGACCATATCGGCGCTGGCAACTATCTGCAACCTGCCAGGTCAGCCGAAAGTTCCAGCATCGGCGGTTTAGGCTCGATGATCCGGTCGATCACCTCAACCAGCTACGACATGGTCGAAGACGATGACTACGAACTACCCGCCGATCACTCCTCCTCCGCAGCCCAAAGTCCCAAGAGTTCCCGTCGCGTGCCTCCGCTTGACACTACCGCAACCACCATCGCTTCTTCCCCTTCCGAACCGCCGCTCCGAAGCCCCATTTCCGGAGAGCCCATCCCGCTCAACCATCCGACCCCCGGTCTACAGTCCCTGCAAGGAGCCTATGTCAATAATGTGGAACGTCTGGAGAGGAGTGCTGAACGGATGAGTATGAGCTCGACCAATATTGGAGACGAGATTCGCAAGATGGACTTGGAGCAGAAACGGAGGTCCAGTGGCTCCTCGGTCTATACCAACAACCAAGACGGCTTTAAGGCCAGCCTGTCGTCCCGTCATGGCTCCATCCAGTCTGTCTCGCGCCTCGCTCAAGTATCGGAGCATGGTCCTAACCCGTCGTACGCGGCACCTACCAACCACACGCCCCTCATGCCGTACCTCCCTCCTCCCCCTTCTGCGCCCGCCCCAGGGGAGCTTCGACTTGTCGACCATGAGCATTACAATCACCTACTGGGCGAGGAACTCGAACGTCCGTGCACAGCGGCTTCGACTGACACCTACCAGCAAGCTCGAGTCCTGTTCACTGACTTCGACGGCGTGCACTATGTTCCCTCGGAGAAAGACCTGGTGCGCCGAGTATCGCTTACCCGCCCGCCGCTCGCAAGCCGATCCGAAACCTACAAGCAACCACAGGCCGGCGAAGATATGGTCTATTACCCTGCACCGGTGCCAATGATGTTGAACTTGCCCCCTCGTCTGTCGCGAAAACCCGGCGCGGAGAGAGAGAAGCGCCGCACACAGCTTCTAGGCTCAATTCCTGTCGATAACCGCAAATCAGCCCCGTGGTTGTCACAGCAGGACTCGGACGGCAACGCTGCTCTCAAGCGAGACAAGGAGGTGGCAGCTTTGCCGCCACAGCTCCGTGCCAGCGTTTTCTTCGAACAGCCATCGGTGCCACTTAATCTAGAACTGACTCAGGCTTCCGCGGTAGCCACCTTAGACAGTATACTTGATGCATCAGCACACGCCCCTGTGAGTGCGTTTACCGACCATCCGATTGCTGGCGCGGCGGGTCATGCCAAGCTCACACGTAAACCTTCCGTCGGGGGTCTGCTTGATCATTCGAAGAAGCGAGCCTCTCGGAGCACTCTTGGCTTCGACCGCCGCTTGTCCGACCCGGAGCTGGAAGAAAGGCCAGTGACCTCTGATCGCTTTTACAAACAGACCGAAGCCGAGGCGGCAGACATGCATGAAGGTACCTTGTTACGTGAGGATGAGTATGGCGCAACTGGCGGTGCGGACGTGGTTCACCACGACGACGAAGACATCGCCCATCCAATTGAACCTGAAGTAGAGTTTACCGGGCCGCCAAATACACTCATGGCAGAATTGGAAATGCGAAAGAACGAGCTCAAACAACGGCAGAAAGCCGTGGCGGGTCCCTTCGGGCTCCAGTCCACGCTCCTTCAAATGGATGCTGTTGCTCAGAAGCAGAGCGAACATCGGCGACAGAGGCCAGTCACTCTGGCCTGGGAAAGTGCAGATGCTCAAAAACCGGACGAGGGAGACGACGATGATGTCCCGCTGGGTATGCTGTTCCCTGAAAAGGCGCCCGCGACGGAAGAGGCGCGCCCGCTGGGTCTGATGGAGAAGAGAGCCATGGAAGAGTCGGAACCTCTGAGCCGGCGTCGAGCCCGCCTCCGGGGGGAGCCCCCACCACGCACTCCCGATAGGCGGTCAAACACCATGTATGCAGCTACGGTGCAAGAGGCCATGGCTGCAGCCGAGGAAAGCGGCGATGAGGAGGAAACCCTAGCCCA